TTATGACCAAAATTGAGGAAGTTACACTTGTTGATCTTTTTCCAAAAAGATTGTCATTTTTTTTGCACACCACTGTATATATGAATTGATCGACAAAAAGGGTTCCAATTTTTCCAGAATCGATTTCCATATTTAGTATATCCTGACTCAGTCATATTTACTTTGTTGACAATCATTTCATCAACAATCATTTCATCAACACCCATTTCATTGAAAGTTTGTTTCATCAAAAGTTCATTGTCAAAAATTATTTCATCCTCAAGTCAGAGACCGAATTAGTTAGATGTGAGGAGTGTGGGAAGTTAGCTAAGAAATTAGGCAAGGAAAGCAGAGTGTGTGGGAAGTGTGAGGAGAAATTTGTTTAATGAAGTTTTTTTTTTGTGACGAAATAATTTTCAACAAAATGAACTTTCAACAAAATGAACTTTTGATGAAACAAACTTTTGACAAAACAAACTTTTGACAAAATGAGTGTTGACAAAATGATTGTCAATGAAATGAATCAGACCCAGGTTAATAATTTATTTATTTGTATTGGTAACTAACTCTGGAAGCTATATTTACTTTGATGTATGTAATTTGAACACAAATGAATTTTTTTAATATGTGCAGTGTGATATATATAAAAAAATATAAGATTTAAAATTTTTGCATAATAAACTGAACACAAAGTCTCATCCACATTAAAAATTAAATAATCATATTACATCATTATTAAACACTTTGCTTTCTTTATAATTTACTATGTTCATTTCCTTTTTTTTTGATGATGTGAAGTACAAGACATTCCTTTTAATTATGCTTATGGTTAGTTATTTGTGAATGAAAGTTGTGTTTGTGTTCCGTAATAATTTTTTTACATTCTCAAGCAATTTCTTTAATAAAATGACTTCAATATAATATCATCAACACCCTAGCAAAGAAATAAAACCTCTATGATAAAATGGTCAAAACTTTCATTAAGTGTTTTGATGTGTAAATAATTACCAGTTTAATTTGATAATCTCAAATTAATAATTAGCTAATTCAAAACTGATATTTCAAGATTGAAATAATTTTCTTGCCTGGATTTCTAATTGCAATTAGGAAAGAAGCCTCCTTTTACATTAATCCAAAAAGTTAATTTCAAAAGATAATGTTTGCATAACACATAAATAAATACTATAATAAAATAATAAAATCGAATTGAGATTCCATGTTTATTCAGTTACTCAAACATATATATCAAATTATAAATTCCTTTATGAAACTAATAATAAATAAACAAATGTTAATGTCAATTGATGAAAGGATTTCTTCTGGAAAATCTTTTATGATCAAATGTATTAAAAGAGAGAAAAAAACTTGAAGCATTAAATAGAATGAATGAAAATACTCAAGTCTCTTTATTAAAAGAAGATGCTAAGATTGAAGAATTAGAAAAAGGATTGAAAGAAAAAGAAATATTGGTCGACTATTTGAAAACTAAGTTAAGGAAGAAGAAGAAAAGGCTGGATGCCACTTAAATTCCTTAGAAGTAGCCCAAGAATGAAGTAAAAGGCAATTAGCTGAAAACTTGGAGCAATTAGAGACAGTCAAGAGCCAGGTATTCTCTTGACCTTACAAGGTAAGGGAAATGAATTGCAAGAAATAAAATAACAAGCCCAAGAAATTCAGCAATTAAACCAAGAATTATATTTAGCCAATAAGCTTTTGTCAGTATTACTAAGGAAAAAAAAAATTGCAAAAATTACAAAAAAGATAACTGAGAAATTCACCTAAAAAGGAAACAAGAGCAAATAATTGAAGTAAAACCCAAGGAATCCAAACCAATCTATACCAATTCTTTTTTGTCAAACTTATTTTTAACTTCTTTGATCTTTAAAAGATAATATATTCATTATATTATTCTAAGATAGACAGCAAATTATTTCTCTACTGATTTTATTTTCTTTCTGTCTCTTTGTGGGGTTCTGTGTTAATTTTCTTTTATTAGTTATGATTTTTCTCTCCTGCTGGTTAATTTCATAAGTAATCTTTTCTTTATTTAGATAAGTTTCCAATTACCAAGTATCATTTATTTAGAAAATATAAGGAGCAATTTTCTCACCTTGTTCTTTTTTCAAAATACTTCTGATAGTACTGTGAGTGTGTGATTTTCAGCACTACAGCTCATGAGGTGTCCAATAATAATATACAAATAATAATATAAATTTCAATAAAATATAATCAATACAGCTGACACACAGACTTACAATTACAATAATGCCTGACACATAGGACTTCCAAATAGCTATATCTATATGCCTAAATGCTTTCTAGGCAGATGCTCTCTTAACCATTTCCCCCTGTATTACTAAAGAAATATATACAAGGACTATTTACAACTAGAGATGGAAATTTCAAAATTTCATGCGCATGATGTGCATGATGCACATCATGCATGTTATATGCATTGCATTTTTTTAAAAAATATATAATATATCAAAAAAAATATAAAAATAAATATCTAAATACAATTTTCAATATTATTATCACTACCACTGCCTTATTCTTTGCCACTTTTTATTCTAATTGTTTCATTATCATCAGTTTTATCATTTTTGCTTCCCACATTTCCATCACCATCAATTGTAATATCCATATTATCATTGTTGGTATTTTTTGGACATTTTAATTTGTAATTAAAATACATCCAGATGTCAATTTGTTTCACTTTTTATCATATATATAAAGGAAAAAGTGGACCAATTCCTTTTAGAAGCAATTATTCAATTCTACCAAATTTAACAAAATGAGGCCAAATTTTTGATTTTGTCATTTTCTATCAATAATACAAATCAATAATAACTCGGTAAAAATTAAAAAATTCGCAATTTTTTTTGAATAGAATTATGTATGGGACATTGCATGATTTTTTTTCAAATCATGCGCGCATTGCATTTTTTTTCATGCACATGTCACATCTCTACTGATTACAACAACCCTATTTTTTTAAAATAGACATTAAATGGATATGGGCCTAATCTCAGACATTTGTCTATCACGGCACGCCATAATAATTGTAGCCTGCAATTTATTTATTTTTTCTTTGCATCAATTAGCCTTTTTTAATATGATGTTTTTGAAAGTTATCTTTTGGAGCCAAAGCTCGTTATGGCGATCTCGTTAGAGTGGAAATGGCTTACAGTGAATTTTTTACAATGTCCTAATTCACATCATAATAAAATCTTAATAAAATTCCCCTTATTGTATACAAGAACTTTTACATTTAATATAAATATAGTGGAAATAACATGATTATAGTCAAAGGGTCGGCCATCCACCCACTATTCATTTAATCAATTTAGTTTGGTCAATTAAAAATAGAATGTCTTTGAACTATTGATAAAAATTGCATGATTTAAAATAAATAGTTTTCAGGATAATGAACTTAATCCATCATCTTATGCTGACATAAAGAATACCAAAAATGGAAGGAAGAAATAGCATACACCAAGACCACTGAATCTATCAGCTATTATTAGAAAATAATAATAAATACATAAGAAAAAAAGCAAATATAATCATAATAATTACAAGAAAAGTAAAAAATAAATCAAAATGATGGTAAAAACCATCATGTCATACAAGTCATAATGCTTGATATGATGTATGGTTATAGTTGGCCTAGAAGGACTATATTTTTGATAGCAACTTATTTTATTTCATGAATCAAATTTAAATTTTGTAATATTGTGAATATTGTGAAAAAATAAACACCTGATTAATATTTTTTTGTAATTTTTAAATATAAATAAATAAATTTAAAACACGGAAAAAACTAAATATGCAAATGGAAGAATGGTTATCCATCTGAAACTATAGAAAATAAAAATCATTATTTTCAAATTTAAAAGTTAAGACGAAAATCTTTTAGAGAGAAAAAATTTCTGCCTTGTATTTATGGATACAACGAGCCTCATCTTCAACCTAGTCGTTTATGGAAACACATTGAAATCAAAAAGGATTGCAATTCATCAGTAAATTGCGAAAAGAAGATTTTATGGATCAGATGGTTGGTTGCCAAATTGCAACAATAAGCGGACTCTCGGTTTAGCGGATAATTTTCAAAAATCCGTTATACCGAAATTTAAATTAATTAGTAACCGTTATATCGAGAGAATTTACTATCCCAATCCGTTAATTCGAGACTTTTATTAGTATTAGGCATCAGCTAAAATCGAAACCAGACGTGCTATTTTTTTATTTATTATTAACATTATTATTATTAACATTAGTATTGTATTGATTAAAAAACCGTACAAAATTTGGGTTCACTGTAACGAGCTTTGACTGTTTTAATTTTGTTTACTATTACTATTAAAAAAAAACAACATTAAAAAAAATTTTTTTTTATATGTATGTCCATTTTTCTGTGAACCAACCAATCTGTCCAATAGTACATTTTGCATGGTGCGTGAAGTCTATCTATAATCATTTTGCACGCGATTTTAGAAAAACAAGTACATTTTTGTCGATCATTTTAAAATGACTCTTTTCTATCATTGTGTAAATCCGAGACCTGTGACATTCTTTTTTACTAATGTTCACGGCAGTGAAAATTTTGACTTAATTAGTATATATTATGATGATTGTTTCCTATTTTGGGCTCGCATAGCTGTAAATTACTTTAAATCATCAAGAAAAATTGTTGCATTGGCATTTGATTCCGTTCCTCTTTAAAATTTGCAGATACTTATAGAAATGGATCAACAGATCTAGAGGCTTCATATGCAGTAAAAGATATAAATAGTGATGGGCGTTTGACTGTTATAACAACTATTATTGATATCATATAATTGTTATATATAATAGTTATACGCCCATCATTGGATATTAAAAATTACAAGAAATATTATTGATAATTAGGTTGATAATACTATAATATATAATAATGGGAAACTTTAATTCAATATCAAAGAGAAGTTTCGGAAGATTAAAAAAGTCACAGGCGAAAGAGTTTTGCCTTGATATTTTCCCTGCACTAGAGTCTTTGGCCGAGTTTTATCAAGATCAACATCATTTAGTTAAGGCTATTTGGGGGGAAAATTTTTCCTCGCCTGTTCACGAAAAATTAAAGCAAGGAAATTTTAAAGTTTTAGATATTGGGTGAGAGAATTAATTAAACACTTTCATCATATTCAATAAAATAAAAATATATTTTTTTATTTTTTTATTTCCATAAAATAGTTGTGGGTCGGGGACCTGGGCGTGTGATTTATCATCAGATTATCAATCATCGAATTTCATCGGGATCGACCATTTAAAATTATTCCCAGATTCTAAACCAAATAATGTCGAATTTATGACTCACAAATGCTATTCAAGTTTACCATTTGAAGACGATACTTTTGATTTTGTACATTTTAGATTTCGAACTATCTGTTACACAATCGAACGATGGGAAAATTTTGTAATAAAAGGTAAAAAGTTATTAATAAAGAAGAATAAGAAAGGAATCTTAACTGATTGATTATTTATTGTTTATTGATATAGAATTGGTAAGAATATTAAAACCAGGTGGATACTTGGAAATTTACGATGCCGAAATCAATTGTAATAACATGTCACCACGTTTGTCAAAAATATTCAATATAGGTAAATATAAAGATGATAATGTGTGTGTATATATATATATATTATCATTATCATTGCTTATTAATCTAATTACAAACAAAAGTTCATTCAGAATTTTATTCGCGTAATTTGGATCCATTAATGATAAGAAACTTGGGAAATATTATGGCTTCTTCCAAACTTCTTGAAGATATTCATCATGAACATAAAACAATACCAGTTGGTGAATGGGATGGTGTAATAGGTGAATGAGCGGGCGAATTCAACAATATATTAATCTTTAAACGTCAAATAAATAGATAAATAAATAAATGATGATTTAAATCATTATTCTTCCTAAATAATAACCATCGGTTTTTTTGTTTTCTTGCGAAATTTATCTATTTATTTTAGGTGAATTAACGGCTCCGTTTATAATACAAACGTTTACAAAATTTAAAAATAAAATATCAAGATCAATGAAATTGAATAGTGATGAAGCTTTTGAGAAAACAATGAAGGGATTAAATCAAGAATTCAATATTTATAAAACTTATTGCACGCATCATGCATTTTTTGGGCGAAAAATCCAACTTAATTGAAAAAAAAAAAAAAAACTTTTACTTATTTATTAATTCATTATCATCACATCAAAATTATTTTATTAATATCAATGTCATCGAATTATTTTATTTTATCATCATTTAATGTTTATCCTCGTAAAATACATTCTTTTTTATATATTAATGAGGAACTTTCCCCGCGCATCTTTTTATCCTATACACATATTACATAATTGATTATTAATAAATTTGATTACACGAATATTAATATTAATGAGAAATCACCGTGCACGATTTATTATTATATATTATTATCCGTTAAAGAATCTTATTCCCCGTCCATTCACGCCTTTTATTTAATTGTACATAGTGTACACGCCCTAGACAAAAGTTTTCGGACACCTGTTTTTATTGCTTGCGCAAAACTACACGTAATAACTATACATATAATTTTATCAAATGTAGCTTAGGTTTTGATGAATATATATGTAAATTTTGGTATTCTCAAAACGTCTATAGAAAAATTCTCGACGAAAATTATCAACATATTTATTTGTATTCAAAAAAATTCAAAAAAAAAAAATGAAATAAAGTTTAATATTAATATCGAGTTGGCCATCCATCACTAGAAATACATGCCTCAGTCCTTCTAGATATGCTTTCTATTAATTTGTAGTGAGTTCTTGACCACACTTCTTGTAAAGCAGCTTCAATTCGTTGGCATTGTTTGGGTATTGTGTTCGCTTATCTAATCGCTCCCTAGTTCACTCCAAAGATGTTCAATTGGATTAAGGTTGTGAAGACCAATTAGGTACTTTTATGAAGGCTCAAAATTTTTCCTCTTCGTTTTTTGGCATTTTTACATTTTTAAAAATTTTGATTTTTATAAATGCGATTTTATTTACTAATTTTTTTTTAATTTTATTATAAATTATTTATGCTAGCCAAAATCACAAAATTTTGCATTCATATTCTAAATAACCTAAGCTACAAATTATTATTATTATTATTATGTAGGATTTTGGGTAAATTTGAGAAAAAAAAATGATATCGCGATTTTCGTTGATTTCGGATTCTTTTAATTAAAATATTTCTAGACGTTCTAAGAGTATCAAAATTTACATGTATGTTCGCTAAAAACTAGGCCGCAAATAATATAAATTTTATATACAATTATTATGTGTAATTTTACGCAATCAGTAAAAATAGGTATCCGAAAACTTTGTCTAGGGTGTATATAATAATAAAATATTATTTAGATTTATGTAACCATGAAAATCTTCCATACGTTTTATAATTTTCCATTTTTAGAAAATTTTTAATTAATTTATTTATTAAGCAAAATATTCCGAGGTTAAGATTCGGAGTGGATGGAGAGAGTTGGGAAAAATATTTGTTTACATGTATATTTGTAAGCTATTATTATCACTATTATTATATAAAAGAATAAGAATAAGAATAAAAGTAGCAGCGATGGTTATAATGGTTACGGTTTTAGCGGTGATGAAATTTATATAAAAGACGAGATAACTATAATAGGTGTTAGTCAAGTTGATAGAATGCAACTTCAACAACATCTTTGTAATATTTGGAGAGAGAATTTTTCTTCACCGATAAAGAAAAATTGAAAATGACGGTATCGAAGTTTTAGATGTTGGGTAATGTATATATGTTATATGTGTGAATGCATGCGTATATGTTGAATATAAATTTATAAATATGCCAAAGAATTTTATTTTCATAACATTCTCTCTTTCTCTCACTCTTCACCACCCCCCCCCCCAATTTTCCATTCTCCCAAATCCAATTATATAGATGCGGTTTCGCAACATGGATTTGTGACATAGCATTAGATTATCCGTTATTGGAATTCGTGGAAATAGATATTACACCTTTATTCCCGACGCAGGGAAAATTTTACGAGAAAGATTTACTGAATATTCTACCGTTCGCCGACAACCCTTTATACTTGTCGATCGAGAAATGGTAAAGTATTTCGATACCGGAGCTCATAAGAGTATTGAAACCTGGCGGTTATATCGAATGTGACGAGGCAGGAGTTTGTTGGCATAATCTTTTAGTCAATTATAGTTATTTATATATATTATTATTATCATGTTGAACAAAATAAATTAGGATGGTGATTTATTTAATTTATGTAATTTTATATTGCTACCACTCAATTCCCAATTCTCAATTCTTTTCTCTCTTCTATATAAGAGTTATCTATTGGAACATTATTTGAAGGAAATTGATAGTAAAGTTTAATGAAAAATTATACCAATGAAATAAAGGTTACAAAGCATATACTGTACATCGTAGATTTTATATCACAAAAAAAATATATAAGAAATGCGGGGGGTTTTTTTTGAGAATCATTCACATTTAAAAAATAAAATGAATTACAAATTAGTGTTGTTATTGCTTGAAATCTAATAATCACAAAATTTCGCGAATAAATAAATGCATATTTCTTGAAAGTTTTTGATCCCCTTATAGGAATTACATTAAAAAGAATTATTTCGATAATTTTTGTGCATAATATCGATGTTGCTTTGAGTAGGTCCTATATAAAGATCTTTCATTGGCGTAATTATTTAATAGCTCGTCGACCTGTGATTCGCTACAATTCAATATATCCATGATCTTCCTTTTTATTCCACCATAAAAACTGTCAGTAAGTTCGCCCGTTAAATTGCCTAACAAGCCACCCCAACTCCCACATGGTATGGTTTTTTCCTGATGATATATATCGCCTAATTTTTTAGTGCTACTCATAATTTGAGGAAATTTCTGGGTGATATTTGGGTCCATTGATTTTGATCTTAGAATCTGATTTACTATAAGAAATTAATCAAATTACGCGAAATGAGTGAGTGAAAGAAATTTTATTGGTGATTTTAATTTTAATTTGTTTTCCCTTCATTTTTTACCTGCATCACTTATAGTTGTTGCGGCAGGGCCACGATTATACATTACAACCTCTGCGTCTATATAAATACAAAAATAATTAGTGTGACATTATATACAGCACACGTGCTGATTAATACAAGTTTTTTAGGTTCTTTAATCTACCTTCTAATTCTATCCATCCTCCTGGTTTTATAACACGGACCAATTCTATATATGTAAAAATTGTATATATTTATTTAGATAAAAATAATAACAAAATAACAATAACAATAATAAAATTTGAACCTTGCAATATGAATGTGTTCCATTGTTGCTCAGAAAAACAAAAAACCATATGACGAATCCTGACAAGATCAAAAAAATCATCTGCATACATACACATACACACACACATATATATATAGAATAAATAATATGCATTATTAATATTTTATAACATTTATAATTATATATATGTACCTCTGAAAGGAAGACCGTTAAAGATGTCCGTCTTTATAAAAGCAACATTGGTGGGTTGCAACTTGGGAAACAGCTCATTGATGTCTACACCAAAAAATTTCGACTGCTTTTGTTGATAAATTTATAATTTTTAGATGAAATTTTTGTTTTAGAAGTTATAATTTTCGAAAATACTGTTCTTACCTTGTATTCGCTGGCCATATCACAGACCCAGGTACCTAAATATAATAATTTGAAGAATTATTATTTTGCATTTTATTATCTTTTAAAAGGATGAGTTAAATATGTGCGTGCGTGTGTATATATATGTACCTGGACCACACCTAATGATTTTCAAATAGATAATTAATGATTTGTTTTTTCTTATTATTATCAACAATAAAGAAATTACTCACCCAACATCAAGAACATTGGCGTCACCACTTTTAAGAATATCACCAACCGGTGATGAATAGTTTCCGTTCCATAAAGTTCTAAAAACATGATGTTGTTGTTGGTATCTATCTATCTCCTGCAACGTTATCTTCATTATATAATCTTTTTGATTATTTTCGTCTATTAACGAAGATTCGTTAGCATTAGTAGGAGAAATCACTGATGCATTCCTTGATTTATCGCTGGTTCTCCTCCCTCTTCCTTTTATGTGACGGACCCCTTTCCATTTTATTGATATTGATGTAGTATTTCCCATTTTTTTTTTTTTAAAATGATTTTTTTTATGATGGAAATTTTTAAAAAATACAAATTTGATAAAAGAATGTATTTGTTGTCGTTGTTGTTGTTATTAATCTATTAACGTAAAAAAAAAACTTTTGATTTTTTTTTTGATCGTTATATTGTTATATATATATATATATATATTCATATATATATGTTCATGTTCATATATATATTATAGATTAGGCAATTGGATAATCAATAAAAAATAATAAGGTTTATCGGCCTATTGGTAACCATAAATAGACCTTTATAGTCTGAACAAAATGGATTTATTGGCTTATCATCTTTCTTAATATTAATTGTGTAATCCGTGTCGTGCAACTCAAATGTATGCAGGAGCAAAAATTAGAATAATGCACTTAATTTATTATATAATTATTTATATTTTTCTTTCCTCTCTCTCTTTCTATATCTATTTATTTAAAATTCATCATTACCATTAGGAACCATTACACTAGTCGTATCTCCACCAGTCATATCAACACTGTCCATTCCTCCCTTACCCTTACCCTTACCCTTACCCATCACTTTTCCAATTTGTACATTTGCCTAAAGAAAATCATTAAATATAAATTAAATACACTGTTTGATCAACGAACCAATCAATTGATAAATCAGATTAATACCTTTGCAACAGCTGATACTGTTATAGGCTGTTCTTGTTTTCCGCATGAAAGTGGCGGTCCTTTAGGCGGTGGTCTTTTAGGTGGCGGTGGGCTTGAAGATGGTGGTGGACTTGAGTGTGGTGGGCATGGAGATGGTGGACATGGATGTGGTGGCGGTGGTGGATAATAAGGATATCCACAATGATGATTATTTAAAAAGCCTCTTCTTTGAGGAGGAGGCATCGCTTGTTTTGCTTTTGCTTTTGGTTGTTGCTGTTGTTGTTGTTTGCCAACTGAAACGATTGCTTTCGCTGTTGCATCTGCAGTTACCGGTTGTTGTTGCTGTTGTTGTTGCTGTTGTTGCTGCTGTTGTGATGGTGGTCGTTTTGGCCGTTTTGACCCGCCGCCACTGTCTCCAGTGTTAGACGGTTGTCCTCTGTCTCCGTTACGTCTTAATAAATGTCTACTACTAGAACAACTATTTTCATCGTGTTCATTACTGTCTCTAGCAACAAGACTTGCTCCTCCATATTGTTCATCATCATATATTAACAGTCTTTTGTCGTTTTTTGTAATACCATGATTGTTGTTACACATTACATCAGAATTACCTCTCGCATTATCAAATAAAAAAATTATTGTTGTATAGCAACATACAATTAATAGAAACTTTAAATATTTATTATTAGATGTTAAGTTTGACATATTATATTATTAACTGTTTTAAATTTTAAAAGCGAAGAAAAGATTTATGGAAGGCTATTTATGATATATATATATATATATAATAGACATGTAATAATACAAAGCGTATGCGATTTAAATATTTTTTTGAAATGCGAATTATATTCTCCCTGATGTTGCTGATTAAATATAATTGATGCATACTTTTTATTCTTAAACTATTACTATTGATCTATTTGATCCATAAATTGTGATTTTTTAACGCTTATTTCTCTTAACTGTGATTTCGGGAATTAGCATGCGAAGGATTTATTATGCCTTGGTTTTCTCCCTTTGTAGTTTATTTCGTTGATTGGAAAATATAATGCAATATGATTGCCTGAAAAAAGAGGAAATGATTTACAAAGTGGTGATGATGACCTTTTCATTTTCTGTCAGCGCGAATCTATGATGAGGCGGTCACCTTCTCTCCTTTTAAAACATTTTCAAACCATAGTGTTGACAGTCACATTCAATAGAGTTTTCCTCGGCTTTATAACTACACCAAATTTTTGTGTAAATTTTCTTGTAAAAATTACCGAGATAAAGAGTGTGAGTGTCTAATACTGAGTTTTTGTCAACTACTTTAGAAGTTTTAACGTTACCATTGGAAAAGATAGACACCTTTCTTTCTTTTTTTTAATAAACATATAAAACACCAAGAATTTCTCCTGTGTCAATCATTTTTAAAAATATATTTATCTGCAAACTGTTCTGTGAACCAGGACCATTTCGTCATTATACAGTAATGAATTATAAATCAATGTAGTACTGCTTTAAAGGAAATTTTCAAGGAAAGAGGTTGTTTGAGCTTTGTTTCGCTGTGTTATGAATTCACTATTCGGCAATCCTGTTCCCCAATCAGTCTGGTGGATGGGATTCAGGTTTGTGGCCGTGATCACTTTGATCGCTTACCGTGTCTAAAATGTGACTAAGAGCTCTTTGCGAATCTCTCAAGTGCTATTGTGTTTGGGCACAGCAACGCTATTCTGTCTCTCTATGCAAATGGTTATTACGGAACTTTTACATTTCATTGGATAAATAATAAAGTCCCTTAGTGAACAAGAAATAAAAATTTTTTCTATATAAACAGATGTATGATCTGCAACTGCTATTATTTCAAAATAAATTTTTTTAAAAAAAAAAAGCACCAAAAAAACAGAAAAAGATTTATTATTTCCCATCATTTTCATTCATGTATATTTGGTGCAATATTAACTATATATATATTATTATTACTATTAGCAAAAATTACAGGACCTAAATTCAAAAGTTATTGAATCATTAGGTAGTATTTATTTTTGTACATGGTTTCTTCATATATAATTTTTTAGACTGTGAAACGCTTGCTGCTAGACAATCAGTACAGATAATAAACCTTATTTATACAAATTCACTTAATAGGGATATATTTTTACAATGATAATAGATTTAATCATATATCGATTAACGATTTTTTATCAATCATATTAAATAGTATTTAAGTTTTATATAAAAACAATAACATCAAATGATAAAGAGGCCAAACCAGCTTTAATTCTCATCTTCAAGATATATTTCTAGTCATCAATTTTTATTTATTAGAAGAAAATTTTATGTCTGTTATAATGGTATGTTTGGTTGTTAACCGTTTTTAGGAAAAATGGGCAAAACAATTTAATCTTTGATGTTATTTTTTTATTTTTATATTTTATGTCACTAATAGAATACAAATTCAAAATTCAAAAGTCCTAAATCTTTACATTTTGTTAATATGTTGATTAATCCTTTGTGTGAATCCTTACTAAAACATTTCACACCAATAGGTATAGGTCCTTTCCAATTTTTTTCATCAAGGTATTCAATGAATCATCAGACGCAATATATTTTCCTTTAAATAAAATTATTTTTAATTTTGTTGAAGTTTGATTTAGAATATCGAAAATTCAAAGTATTATGATTATGATTATCATCATTGTCGTTGTCATTGTTGTCATCACCGTCATCACCACCGCCACTTATCCTTGAGAAGTCATTATTAATGAAATATTTTCCAAATTGATACAAAATTTAAATAATTGACACAATTCTCCAGATAATCATTTATATAATAATATTGATAAAATTCTTAGATTTGAACAATTCTCTCTAATTGTTTGCATAAGCTATCCAATCATTTTTTTATCTTCCAATAATTAATTTCTGAAGGATCTTCCTGTTCGTGACAACGAAATCATAAAAGTCTAATAAATAACCTTTTTAATGTATAACGACCGATAATTTTCTAAATTTTGGGAATGACACATATACTTCAATCTTTCAATAATATTTTCAGTTGAATATACGCTAAAGTTAAAGATGCCAAATTATCAATTTTGAATATAGATGAATCAACTTTGTTACAAATTCTACATTATATTTTACTGACGATCTTGTATGTAATGATAATCCTTTTGTCATTTCTACTGATATTGAATAAATTTATCATTATTCGATAGTACTTTTCTCAACCAGCTTGTACTTTAACCTAAACTAGATAGATAATCATCATCGCCACAATTTACAAACGTTGCCCTCAGTATTTGAATAATTTTGCCAAATGATGTAACAGTTCTGAATCATGATTACTACAAAACAATAACTCATCAAGATTTGAGAAACAATTATTGAAATAGGATGGTTGCGTTATAGAATAATATTCCAAAGAATATAAGTTGGCTATTTTGGTTTTGTAATCGATCTTAATAATTCGTCAATTAGCAAATCTCTCTTATAACTTGATAATTTCGTCAATTAAATCATTAAATAATTATCTAATGGTTCTCTATCTAGTAAATTAAACGACAATTTGTTATTAATTGTTATCAGGTAAATTTTTAATGGATCACCCGATTTGGTCAATAGTAATAGAATGATAATTAATTCTAAAAAAAATTATTTTCTCTGCTAAAAAAAAAACCATTTTACTATTCAACAGCCTATCAAAACCAAGGGCACCGCCTCAAAACTAATGTGTTTTTTCTAGTATGAAATATTCATAACGTTATGATCATACCGTACTGAATTTTGGGGATCAAACAAAATCAGCATATATGCCCGAGATATTTTTAAAACGACGATCTCCCCACAATTTATTATATGATTCGTTATAGTAGATGATTCCGTAATATGTGCCTTTGTTATATATAGAGAGGGTTTACTAAGATGTTCATTATAGAGAGAGAAATTAATAACGTGAATTTCGTTATATAGAGATTTTACTTAGTGTTCATTATAGAGGGGTTCGTTATGGAGAGAGCAAACTTAGTCTAGGACCTGGAAAAAATAATAGTAATAGTAAAATCTTCTTGACCGTTTTTCCAGAAAGGGGCAATTCTCTAACCATCCATCCATTCCTTTGCTTTATATCCAAATTTCTAACAGTCAGTTGTTAAGCTTCAATTTGAAAATGTAGATTTTTGGGAAGAAAGTGTAGATGAGCCATTTTCAAAGAGGTAGATGAAGTAACAGAACATCATCGATGTATTAATGAACTAGACACTACGAGCAAATATTTCAAAAACGAAAGTTATGATCTTCAGATGGAAGGAATTGTTTAAGGCGAGTATAAATTTTTTAAAACTTTGACCACCCTGTAGGGTGCGTCCTTGTTATTATTAACAGTAGGTATAGAAGTACATAATGGGCATTCAACTGTTATAAAGTTTTTTTATAACAACTATTCCACAATAATAATTGCCATAACAATTATTCAATAACATTTTTGTAACAGTTACGTACCTATCACTATATATCTATATCTATATACCTGTATATCTGTGTATCTGTGTATCTGTGTATCTATATATCTATGTATTTGTAATATTTCTATTTTCTATATTGTTTATTAAACAATGCATTAAATAATTGACCATTCATTAGCTAATCGATTGAAAGTTGTAAACGCATCCTATTTATCGTTATATATGTTAATAATTATTTTACTTTCGAAAAACAAAAAAAGAAAAACAAATGGTTTCAAGTATATATATCTTTACCTCACGTGTACAGTCTAAAAATTTAGTCCGTGTTGTAGACAATAATACTGTGGAATGAAGTTGTTTTGAACGAAAAACTGCCAACTTACCAAAACTACCTCGTGATATCACCTATTATAATTCATTATAAATATATTGTAAGATTTTTTTTAAACCAATAAAATTCACTTTTTTTAATACATACCCGATAATCTGTTTTGCTCAAAATCGAATTTTCAACTATTGCATTATTTACACCATTTGCGTGATCATAATGACCATGACCAGAATCAATTGGTAATCCAGAAATTATGACATGTTCAAGTTTTGTGTATGCTTCTTCTCTTAGTTTAATAGAATCTGTGACAAGATAGTATATCACTTTTTGATCTGGTGCTGCATAAGTTTGTGTAAGTTGGTCAGCGCAACTAAAAAAGTGGCTGTAATCTTGTAATGAATGTGATTGTTCATAAGTATCTCCAGTCCGTATATGAACTCCAACGGAAAAAATACTTGGGAGTGCAAATAAGGCTGTATATTGTGTGATAAAAGATAATGCTGTTGGGACTGGTCTAAATAAATAATCTAGAAAACATCCAAATGCAGTATGTGGTCTCAGACCAATTTCTTTTAATTTAGATGAGTAATATTTAGAATCAAAAGCTCTTTGTATCAGCCCTTGACTTATATAAAATTTTATAAATGGTTCTGGATATTTTGTTGTCCAGTTAAAAAGTGAGAAATGATAATCCAAATGTTTTACATCATAATCAATAATATTTAATTCAGTTGTATCAAAATCTTTTATAGAATAATCAGGATCAAGAGAATCATAGCTCCAGTCAATATTTGGTGAATCAAAAATTGCATCAAGTGGAAGGGGAACTTGCCAGTCTGCAAGGAATGCTCTGTTTGTAAGTAATGCAAATAAAAATGTGGATGTCATGCCAAGAATACTATATATGTGTGTGTGTGTGTGTGTATGTGTGTGTGTTAAACAAAGATTTGATTAAATTATACACACATAATTGTAAAAAAGAACTTTGCATTTGTATCTTTAAAAATTATATGTTTGCTTACCGGTCTGCCAATCCGCCACAATTTATTTTAGCATCGCATATATAACCAATATATCTTTGAGGTGCAGTTCCGTTTAAAATTTCCTTGTGTAATTTTGTATATTTGTCTTGCCATGATCCACAAGAATGATCTAAACTATCATCAATATTTTTTTGAGACATTTGTAAATTAACAAACTCTTCATGTTCACTGATTGAAAGTGACTCAACAACGTCAGTATGGGTAAAATGAGGATTTGTAGTGACGTATGTATAATCAGAATAATCAACTTCAATACTATCCTCATTAAGAGCGTCACTAATTTCATATTTGGTTTGTTTCTTGTTTTTAAGTTTGTTGGTTATTCCAATCTGTGTTGAATCTATTGAATTATCAGAAGATCCAAATTTACCTTTTATATCACCAGTATCATTTTGCGTGGGAATTATGTTTTCAGTAATATCTTCTTCATCGCTTGTAATATTAATATCAATATTATTATCATCAACATCGATATTTAAAAGACGAGTTGTATCCTCCCAATCATCTTGTGCAATTTCTTCCCATGCATCAGTTTCTTCATTAGGGGAGTCTTTATTATCATCGATTATTGTCTCATTAACTATAGTATTATGATCATTAATAGGGACATCTTTATCAATGAGTAATTCTTCATCAACTGGACCTACTCCGAATAGACTAGATAAAAATACGACAAGAGCCCATAAGAAAACAAAAAAATAAAGAATTTTTCTAATGTCTAATCCGGAGGATTTTGGACTATGAAATGATCCATCGGGTTTTCGTTGTTTTTTCGTTGAAAATGGATCATTTGAAGGTGATATGTTGGTAGTTTTCTCTTTAATGATAGAAATGTTTGGGTTTTGGTTTTTTGGGGAATCGAGTAGTATGTTTTGTTGAGATGCGTGTTGTCTTGTATTGTCATTGTCGACGTGTGGGATTGGTAGCGCTGCTAAAAGATTTTCAATTGATCCATTAGTGCTAATTGTACCTGTACTCGCATTACGACGATGTGGCCTTTGCCCAGTAGTAGTAGTTGACATTTTTTAAAAGAATGGAATATTTGAAAAAAAAGAAAAAAAAAAAAAAAGAATGAAAATGATTATTTTTATGTTAATTAATTCTATCTGTCAATGCTTGCTCAAAATATTCAATTTTTATTTGTTTGCAATGTATTAAACAACTCATTAATTAGAATTTTTTTGTTCAAAAAGTAAAAGTAATAAAGAAGAAAGGAAGGAATGGATTAAAGCAATTATACTAAAAAAAAATAGATATTTGCATTTATTATATACTTTTCCCTAAGAAAAATAATTCTTGTTAAACAACAATGATATATTGCACCTTATTTTAAAAAAATAATATTAATATAATTTTCAAATAAAACGATTTTTTTCTAATATAACCAATTATTATGGTTGTTGCCATTTAATTAATTTGAGAATGTCAAACGTTGTTCATAAAATTTAATCATCTATTATTTTATTAATAAATAGAAAATTTTTTCTTAATATGTATTGATTTTCTTATATATTTATTTATAATAAAATTTACCTTTTGAGGGCATCTAATATTTGCTTCTTTAGCGGGATGTCTTGAAGTATTTCCATCATTCCTAATTAATGTTAATATTAATACAACTATTACATAACAGTATCATGGATATTATTATTATTATTAATTTACCATTTTAAATAAACTGATAATTCTCCAGATTTTTCATCACGACTAACAGTTTCAACTGATATAACATCATCATCCCAGTTATCACTTGTATTATCATCAGGTTCATTCTTAATTTCTTCTATTCTAATTTTCTTTGAAGTATGTTGATTTTTACTTTCTTGATTTACAGAAGGTGATGATGTAGATGCTCTTTTCCTGTCTTTGTTAGGGGTTGTAGGTGCCGTGTTTTTGGAGCCCGTAGCTGTAGTTCTAGATTTTACTGGGCTTTTGACATCTTCGGAACTTTTAGTCGTTTCAAGTTTTGCCCAATAATCTTTTATAAGATCTTCAGCAAAGCTTTAATATATAAATATATGGTGTATGAGTAGATATGCTAAACAGTTCATTGTATGATGGCTTGGTAAAATTTATATTTAAATAATAGTTACATATTTTTATCAAGTTCCCAAGTTGCTTGATTTTTAGGATAACCTATAATATACATATAGATTTATTTTATATATGTTAATAGCTATATTGCAATAATATTAAGATCCACGCTTTCTATTAAAATAATAATAATACCTTTCCATTTAATAAAATACTTCATTCTATTCTAAAATTATAAATATTAAACTTGTAAATTTAAATCTTTTTCATAAAATTAATTTTTATTCCAAAAAAGAAAAGAGTTAGATACCCCTGATTTTTTATGATCAATAATTGCTTCAACTTCATAGATTTCCTCCTCTCCCTCCTCTTTTTCTTCCTCCTCCTCTTCCCCCTCCTCTTCTTCTTTATCCGATATCTTCTTCTTAATTCTTTCTATTTTTTCATCCGAATCAATCTTTTCTTCAGACACTGCATCCTCTCCAATTACATTTTCAATGGGATCCTTATTCTCCTTGCCTTTAATAATTACTTTATTATCTTCTATAGCGTTGGAATCATTATCTTTTCTTTGATCTGATGGATTTTTATCATTTTGTTCAGAGTCTTTGACATCAAGTGGATTTTCATGATCAATAGTAATAGATGATGCATATAATTTTTCATCACAAGTTAAAATGTCCTTAACAATACCTTTTGCGATTTCTGCCGACATTTTATTCTTGAATTGAAATCAGAATGCAAATAATAAAAATTGATCGACGATCTCTAGTTACTATCTATCTATATAGGGGTAAAAAGCATACAAAAATCTCTACTATAAAAGTATAAGATGAGCAAAGTGGAGGAATATTAAGCGAATATCGACGAACAACAACAACAAAATATTCAATTCGGTTAATAGACCAGTAAATTTTTGCTCGAAAGCTGATTCTACCTAATAAGTATAGTGCAGCAGAGGAACCCTCTATAAAAAGAAGAAAGGAGGACACGGAAAAAGGGATTTTAATGGATTTGAATATACAAATTATACCGTTAAGGAAGTAATTCTTCACGTCAGTACCACTTTTGTTCAGAACATTTATGACTCCATTATTGATATCATTGATGACCATGTATGGCCATTTACACAGTTTGATAAAAGTGGATTATACCATAATCCCATAAAAAAATATGTCAAGGTAAGGCTTATCATATAATTTGTAATCGCCGTAATAGACAAAAGTTCAATTATTAAGTCCAAGGTATATATTGTTTGTATCCAATAATATGCCCAGTTAAGAATATTAATAATTTTTTATCTAAAAAAAAAAAAAAAAAAAAAATACAAAATAAATTATCACTACCACTGCCTTCTTCTTTATCACTTTTATCATTTCCGCCTCCCAGATTTTTATCACCATCAATTGTAATATCCATATTATCATTGTTGGTATTTTTTGGACATTTTAATTTGTAATTAAAATACATCCAGATGTCAATTTGTTTCACTTTTTATCATATATATAAAGGAAAAAGTGGACCAATTCCTTTTAGAAGCAATTATTCAATTCTACCAAATTTAACAAAATGAGGCCAAATTTTTGATTTTGTCATTTTCTATCAATAATACAAATCAATAATAACTCGGTAAAAATTAAAAAATTCGCAATTTTTTTTGAATAGAATTATGTATGGGACATTGCATGATTTTTTTTCAAATCATGCGCGCATTGCATTTTTTTTCATGCACATGTCACATCTCTACTGATTACAACAACCCTATTTTTTTAAAATAGACATTAAATGGATATGGGCCTAATCTCAGACATTTGTCTATCACGGCACGCCATAATAATTGTAGCCTGCAATTTATTTATTTTTTCTTTGCATCAATTAGCCTTTTTTAATATGATGTTTTTGAAAGTTATCTTTTGGAGCCAAAGCTCGTTATGGCGATCTCGTTAGAGTGGAAATGGCTTACAGTGAATTTTTTACAATGTCCTAATTCACATCATAATAAAATCTTAATAAAATTCCCCTTATTGTATACAAGAACTTTTACATTTAATATAAATATAGTGGAAATAACATGATTATAGTCAAAGGGTCGGCCATCCACCCACTATTCATTTAATCAATTTAGTTTGGTCAATTAAAAATAGAATGTCTTTGAACTATTGATAAAAATTGCATGATTTAAAATAAATAGTTTTCAGGATAATGAACTTAATCCATCATCTTATGCTGACATAAAGAATACCAAAAATGGAAGGAAGAAATAGCATACACCAAGACCACTGAATCTATCAGCTATTATTAGAAAATAATAATAAATACATAAGAAAAAAAGCAAATATAATCATAATAATTACAAGAAAATTAAAAAATAAATCAAAATGATGGTAAAAACCATCATGTCATACAAGTCATAATGCTTGATATGATGTATGGTTATAGTTGGCCTAGAAGGACTATATTTTTGATAGCAACTTATTTTATTTCATGAATCAAATTTAAATTTTGTAATATTGTGAATATTGTGAAAAAATAAACACCTGATTAATATTTTTTTGTAATTTTTAAATATAAATAAATAAATTTAAAACACGGAAAAAACTAAATATGCAAATGGAAGAATGGTTATCCATCTGAAACTATAGAAAATAAAAATCATTATTTTCAAATTTAAAAGTTAAGACGAAAATCTTTTAGAGAGAAAAAATTTCTGCCTTGTATTTATGGATACAACGAGCCTCATCTTCAACCTAGTCGTTTATGGAAACACATTGAAATCAAAAAGGATTGCAATTCATCAGTAAATTGCGAAAAGAAGATTTTATGGATCAGATGGTTGGTTGCCAAATTGCAACAATAAGCGGACTCTCGGTTTAGCGGATAATTTTCAAAAATCCGTTATACCGAAATTTAAATTAATTAGTAACCGTTATATCGAGAGAATTTACTATCCCAATCCGTTAATTCGAGACTTTTATTAGTATTAGGCATCAGCTAAAATCGAAACCAGACGTGCTATTTTTTTATTTATTATTAACATTATTATTATTAACATTAGTATTGTATTGATTAAAAAACCGTACAAAATTTGGGTTCACTGTAACGAGCTTTGACTGTTTTAATTTTGTTTACTATTACTATTAAAAAAAAACAACATTAAAAAAAATTTTTTTTTATATGTATGTCCATTTTTCTGTGAACCAACCAATCTGTCCAATAGTACATTTTGCATGGTGCGTGAAGTCTATCTATAATCATTTTGCACGCGATTTTAGAAAAACAAGTACATTTTTGTCGATCATTTTAAAATGACTCTTTTCTATCATTGTGTAAATCCGAGACCTGTGACATTCTTTTTTACTAATGTTCACGGCAGTGAAAATTTTGACTTAATTAGTATATATTATGATGATTGTTTCCTATTTTGGGCTCGCATAGCTGTAAATTACTTTAAATCATCAAGAAAAATTGTTGCATTGGCATTTGATTCCGTTCCTCTTTAAAATTTGCAGATACTTATAGAAATGGATCAACAGATCTAGAGGCTTCATATGCAGTAAAAGATATAAATAGTGATGGGCGTTTGACTGTTATAACAACTATTATTGATATCATATAATTGTTATATATAATAGTTATACGCCCATCATTGGATATTAAAAATTACAAGAAATATTATTGATAATTAGGTTGATAATACTATAATATATAATATATATAACAACCACATTTGGTAGTGTGGCGCAGAAATCGTGGTTATAACTTTGCGTTGTATGATTTTAACAATTGCTTCATTAGTTCGCAGATCGTTTATCAACCAAGGAATTTTTTATATAGATAGATACATATAAAGTAAATTTTTACTTTTCAATGGCGAATACATCACAATTTTCTGACATTTACAATACATAACAATAACAAACAAAAAAATTTATTATCTTGTGGTACGCTAAGAGAGATGTCAGAAGTTGCATAAACACAATAATGTTAGAAAAATGACTACATATATAAAAACGCCAAGAAATACCTTTTAAAGAGTACCTTTTTTTTTAATGTCATTATCTTTTTTTAATTAGTAAATATTGATAAACGACCTGCATTATCAACAAGATACATTGAAAATCAAATTTTTGTTTGAAAACTATTTTGGTCGTTTCAAGATGATCTAGAATACCACAAATGAATTGAATGGATAGTGGATAGTGAAAATTTTATTTCCGTAAAAAAAAAAAAAACACAAATTACGATTTTCGATTATATGTTCACACTTGATTTCTCCAAAAATGTGTATTCTTTGGTTGTATGTCAACAAAGTGAATAGTGAGGGAGGCTTTTATGATTTAACAAGAACTTTATCAAGGTATAATTTTTTTATTTGTAAAGTTGACTTTGGACCATAAAAACTAAATCATTAAAAAAAATTAAATTTGGGATATAACGGTGCCAAAAATTGGGGATGGGATATAACTCAATTGGATATAAACGAAGTAGGGAAATCCGTCACAGCTCATCTGTGGGATTTAATCAAGGTTGGGATATAAATAGGGGGGGGGGTATAAAAAGAGGCGGGACTGTAATACTGCTTTTAATAAAAATTAACGGACTTGGCCCAAATTTAGGTAGTATTCAAATTTAATAAATTTAATTAGATAATTTCCAATCCCCAATTACAATTGAATTTATCAGCCCATGTGAGCAATTTTCGAAAGGCCATACCTTTATCCCTCAGTTCGTAGGAATAGAGCTTCAACCTGGGAAAACATACAAGAGAGATATTGATTAATCTTTGGGTATCGGTAAGATAAATTCGACGGATCAGGTGAGCAAAGATATGTTCGTGCATTTATATTTATCCCTCTCCAGGTTAAAGTTCTATCCTTACGAACACAGAGATAAAGGTCAGAACCACCTGGAAATCTCTCGCGTTAGGTGCAATTTATACGTTTACGTGTGGCAATATATAATTTTGATTTACATATTTTTGAATGACGATTTGTATTTTGAAATGTTGATCTTACCAAATTGGATAATTTCGACATATCCCGAATTTTTAACTAAAAAAATATCCGGTCATCTATTACCCAAAAACACGCAAAACAAATATATGTAACGCGCAAAATCATAAATAATCTTGATCATTGATTTTTACTATATAAACTTTTGAGAAAAGTAAAAATGTTTAGAATGTTATATATATATATATATATATATATATATATATATAAGTTTTGTGTATTTTAACACGAAGAACATTTTGACCAATGTATTTTAATTTTTGAAAAAAATAAAATTCCTTTTTTTAACAATCAAATGATTTAAACCATTTTTTTTGATGAATTATGAAAATTATTCACTACAATGTTTTTTCAATCAGCAATTTCAAATTATACCGTTATTAGCAATTAGTTTATAGCAATATCTATCTATTCTCAGATGTTGAAGCTAGAGTCATAAACCTATTAGTTAATTTTTATCTTTCATATGATACATGTTATTTCCACATGACACGAGGAATCATTTTTTCAACTTTGGTTGGACTTTAGTCAAAAGTGTCTAATAGTGAATTTGGCATAATAAATAGCTTTACAACTTCCTAGTCAGCTTCCTGGTAATTGCAATTTTAATTGAGAGAAACATAAACAATCATCTCTATAAGTGGCTTAATGCCATTCATAATTGAAAGAGCACGTTATATGACGCAAAAAAAAAAAAAATAAAATAAAAAATTGTTAACCTTATTAGAAACAGATAAAAAATATAATATAATCAAGTTATTATATAAATAAATTCATGTGTGAATGCAAAAAAACTTGAACTAAAAATATATTATAATGAATAATTGGCATAAATTTTATCAATAAAATATTTCTCGCTCTCACACTCACTCGTTCTCTGAGGCCTGATTATACATGCATAATATATAATATAATGCATTATTTCTGCAAGAAGATCTCAGGGGTCATTGTTGTTTATTCAGTACCCTACCTAATTTATATTACATAACATTATATTGCATTACATTACATAATAATAAGGTGATTGATTATAATGGAACCAATTTATCATATTTGATCCCAATCACCCTACACCATACTTTTTATATTTTAATCTAGTATTATTATTTATTATTTTTTTTCACACTACTCGCTTTTGTGTGATATGGGGATGCATTGCTTTTTTTTTGTTATCATGACTGATTTAGAAGTACAAAAAACTTTTTTACTAATTTCCACATACAGTTACCAAGTTCAGAAATTTTTTTTCTTTAAATTTTTAGATTTTCTACTTAAAGTAAAAACCCAATTTCATATTCTCTGGTTCTGATTATTCTATAATTGGATATTTATAATGACATGATAGAATTCCAAAAAAAAATATCTAGTTGACGACGTTTTTACAAATAAATATTTATTGACGTTCAACAAAGATGTTACACATCGTGAAACATCTTTATAAAAGTGTTTATTTAAAAATTTATTATATAACAAGCAATTATGATAATTAAGAACTCTAATATAAACAAAATAAATTTCGCGTGTATTTTATTTATACCGAAATGACTTGTAAATGATAAGAGTTAATTTTTTGAAATTTTTGAGCAGAGTTACCACTATTACCTTAAGTTTAAAAAATGATTACTAAAGATTAGAAAAAAACAAGTTCTGATACAAGTATTTTGATTTTAATGGGAAATGATAAGAGAAACCACATAAGTAGGGTGATCCAAATTCGAAGAATACTTGTTATTATTGTATTCACTTGCATATATTTTCTTGTCACATTGTCACATTAACAATGAAAACATTTTTTGTTGATTAAAATAAAGTTATATCAACGCCATGTGTATTTATTTTCCATGTGACAAATGAGAAATATATTTTTTGACAGAAATCTTTTAAATTTTTATTTTCTAATTTTATCCTTATTAATAAAATTGTTTTTTTTTAATTGTAAATCTTACCATTAAAATAATTCAAAAAAAAAGAATATAAAGATGATATAAGATGTTCTGTTTTTTATTGGGATTTGCGTATGGACTTGTAGCTCTCAAACAATGCCATTGTCGAATGTGGTATCTGAAGAACAAAATGGCAGCCTAAGTCATGTGCAGCTATTAATAGAGGAGCTCTCCGATGGTGAATTTCAACAATTGTCAGAATACATTCTAAAAAAACATCGGAAAAAAGATATAATTTCAGGAATACAACCAATGCTAGCCCAACATTTACTCGCATTGGTCGATCCAAAAACTTTATGCCTAATAAGAAGAGGTATTTATATTTATATATATATATATTCAAATTTGGTTGACCCATAATTCTAAAAAATTAATTTCTCTAAAATAGTTTCTAAAGCTTGGAAAATTCGCGCAACCGACAATGTTCTTTGGAAGAAGCATTGTACATCCGCCGATTTTCTTTCAGACATTCCTAAATCCTTTAAACATAACACTTTATCCGCTGATTACTATTTCCAGCTTTATAGACATAATGTTTTGGTTGAACAGAATTGGGAGAATTTTCATTTCACACAAAACGTTTTCCAAGCTCACAAAGAAGGAATCACGTGTATATCTGGTTCTGAAGATTTGTTTTATACCGGATCTTTTGATAAATCGATTAAAATCTGGGAGCTACCTAGTAAAAAACTTTTATCTACTTTAGATCATCATTCTGAAGCTGTTCAATGTTTGGCTTTAGGTAAATCAATATTAGTATCTGGTAGCTGGGATAAAACAATAATTGTATACGCTCTTGATAATAATTATTCAATAAAACATAGATTGCGTGGTCATCTGGCCGGTATAATTTCTTTGACTATGATGCCGGATGAAACTTTATTATTTTCTGGTTCAGTAGATAAAATCATACGCATTTGGAATTTACAAAACGGTGAATGCTTACACAGGCTTGGTGGAATTGGTGGAACAGTAGGCGCTTTATCACTGATTCCAAAAAATCCTTCTCCCTCTTCTTCAAATAACATCATTGATCATAATGAAGAAAACGTTCAATATTATTTAGTTTCTGGATCAAATGACAATTCAATTCTAGTTTGGGATCTCTATGATGATGATGTTGACAATGGCAATGATACTCAAAAACAAAAATCCTCGTCATCGGTCGAAAATATATCAATTAGGAAACCTCGAATAATTAAAAGATTAGAAGGTCATACCAGGGCCATTACTTGCTTAACATGGTATAAAGATACTTTGGAACAACAAATCAAATCATTTGATCAAGAAAATTCTTATTTAGAAGACAACCATCACAATGATTTAGTTCACATCAATACATCAAAATTTATAAGATCCGAGTCAGCATCACCAGGTGGTACCGATATTTCTGAAACTGGTGATTATATGGATCTCGATGATTTGAACTTGACCAATAACGATACTAATAATATTATTGATAGCAATGAAAATGGCAATGGTAACGAACCTCAAATAGATAATGATAATTCAATAGAAGAAATAGGAGCATCATCATCATCAAATACACATGACTCGATAGAAAATTCATTAATAGATAATAATGTTGTTGATAATAAAAATATTAATGATCCAATCGTTATTGAAACAATTAGAATTATTTCATCTTCTGCCGATTCTACTATTCATATGTGGGATCTTAATACAGGTCAATTAATTGGCAGTGCAAAAGATCATAATGACATAGTATGGGATCTTCAATGTAATTCATCTAGACTTGTTTCCGTCTCTTCGGATGGATTTATTAAAGTGCGATCATGGCAAAACTGTAATGATGATAATACTAACCCTTCATCGTCATCATCATCAAACACAAATATTTACAATCGAAAAAGAAATTGTATTTATAATTCACAAAAACAATACCTAGTCGGACCATCTAATAATAATAGAAGTAATAAGAACAATCATACCATGTCAGATAATTTCCCACAATCTTATGATCATGAGAAAATCCTTTTTGCTCCAGCTGCCGCTCTTGTTGAAGTTGATTGTGGTATCAAATGCCTTTTAATGACTCGCGAATGGTTAATTTGTGGAACGGAAGATGGAATTTTAATCGCTTTAGAATTTCGTTGTTAATTTATAATCGATCAAATTGAATACTTTGTTTTTTAAAAAAAATCTTTTTTTTACGTATTTTATTTTATTTTATTTTATCGTATCGAAAAAAAAAACGTTTTTAGTTTAGTTTTGAGTAATTTACATTAAAATTTTGTTTGTTGTTGTAAGTTATAAAAAAAATCTACAGAAAATAATTAAGCTACATATGATATATTAAGATTATATTAAGATTAAGATTATAATTAAGATTATAAGATTATAATAATAAACAAGCTCCAAATGAAAATACTTATAATGAAAGAATGGAAAATTTCAAAGATTGGTATAACAAAGTATATATAATAGTATTGAAAAATTATACAAATTATACTTGGAAATAGTCAACCAAGAAGAAAAAGTAGAAAAACGATCTAAAGCAGAAGTAGATGAACTACTTCAAAAGATATATGGCTTAGAAATTTAGCAAAGCTAGCGGGTCTGATTCATTTCATCGACAAGTCGACACCCATTTCGTCGAAAGTTTGTTTCATCGAATGTTCATTTCGTCGAATGTTCATTTCGTCGAATGTTCATTTCGTCGAAAATTATTTCGTCACAAAAAAAAAAAACTTCATTAAACAAATTTCTCCTCACACTTCCCACACACACACCACTTTCCTCACCCAATTTCTTAACTAACTTCCCACACTCCTTACATCTAACTCGTTCGGTCTCTGGTTCGAGGATGAAATAATTTCGACGAAATGAACATTCGACGAAACGAACTTTTGACGAAATGAACATTCGACGAAACGAACTTTTGACGAAATGAACATTCGACGAAACGAACTTTTGACGAAATGAACATTCGACGAAACGAACTTTTGACGAAATGAACTTTTGACGAAATGAACTTTCGATGAAACAAATTTTCGATGAAATGGGTGTCGACAAAGTAAACGCGACTGATACCCTCCACTTCTAGAATGGAATTGTTATGAATGTCACCAAATGTAACAGCAACTTATATGAATTGGCAAGTGTTTTTTTCCTTCGGATTGTGTTCTGTCTTACTTTGATGCATTGTTACATGATTTGCATTGCCGTTAATACCAAGTTTTCTTGAATTGCTATTATATCCTTCTTTTTACATAAAAGTAGTCATATAATTGAGCAAGTGTTTCGTTTTGATTATCATATTTGTTATAATAAAATAAATATATTGTTAATATAAGATCGAATTTATTTATCCTTTTAACTAATAATTTATTAGCGAGTGTTATAGATGAAATAGATGCAAGAGAAATTCATAGTAGGTGTTATAAAAAGAAGAAAAAAAGTAAAAAAAGTTTAGACGCGAAAATTCACACCAAATGAATTTGATTCAGAAAATCTCGTATTATACTCATTAAAATGAATTGTTATTGATAACATGCTGCTTCGATAATACCTACAAGTTTTTTCATGTGACCTAATTTTTCAGGTATACCCTATTGTATTTTTTATTATTTTTAAATTCGCATACCAGTACATTCGCCTGATATATTAATATAATTTTTTATTTACAGTATATAACCAGATTTCAAAATAAAAATAATAAAAATATAATAAATAACTAATTTTCATATAATGGTAGAATATAGTCACAATTTTAGTTGGAATAAGGGCAGTGCCAAAGGCACGAATCTTTGATTCACCCATGTGCCTAAAACAAAATTTACACTATTCCTTATACATTTATATGCCTATTAATGTTCATTTCATTATTGGTATAAAGGGTTAGCTCTCACTCATTTAAAACATCAACTATATTGTTTTAAGTATCCATGTATTAGAAAACATTTCGTTTGTGGTATCAAATTCTGCAAAATAATACAGCATGCAGTAATCAAATATCTTTACCGGTCAGGTAGTAAGTTTATGAAACATGCTAAAGATCGATATTATCAAAATGCAAATAAATCCCAGAATGTAATGTATTTTTAAGAAATTGGTAAAATTAAATTAATTGTTTAATTGTATACAGTGCAGGACACCTAATCCCGCAACTTACTGCGCCACGACGACGAATTTTGGGAAAAAATTTCCAATCAAAA